TGGCTGCACTTCCTCCAGGACAGATCTGTTAGTTCTTTTAGCAGTCCATGGTACTTTCAGCATTCTTTGACAGAACCACAACTCAAAAGCATCAATTCTTCTTTGGTCTTCTTTATTAATTGTCCAGCTCTCACATGCATATACATGCATATGAGGTGATTGAAAATATCATGGCTTGTGTCAGGCACACCTTAGTCCTGAAGGAGACATCCTTCCTCCTCAGCACTTGAAAGAGGTCCCTTACGGCCAACTTGCCCAGTGCTATATGTGGTCTAATGTCCTGACTTCTGCTTCCATTGGCATCGATTGTAGAACCAAGCAATGTGAAGTCTTTGACAGCTTCAATCTTTCCTCCATTTATTGTGATGCTGCTTATTGGTCTAGTTGTGAGGATTTTTGTGTAGAGAATAACAAATTGTGGATGACATTGAGAAGAATGAGAATTCCAGAAAACTTGATTGTGCTCATGAGGAACCTGTACACTGACCAGGAGGCTACTGTTCAAACAGAAGAAGGGACGCTGCATGGTTTAAAATTAAGAAAGGAGCGTGTCAGGGTTGTATCCTTTCCCCATACTTATTCAATCTGTAGGCCAAGCAAATCATCTGAGAAGCTGGACTATATGAAGAAAAACATGGCATCAAGATTGGAGGAAGAATCATTAACAACCTGTGATACACTGATGACACAACTTTGCCTGTTGAAAATGAGGATGACTTGAGGCACTTACTGATGAAGATTGAAGAATACAGTCCACAGTATAGATTACACCTCAATATAAAGAAAACAAAAATCCTCATTGAAAGTGATGTATTAAAGTCTCCCACTATGACTGGAGTCATCTATTTGACTTTTCAATTCTTTTAAAGTCTGATTTATGTGTTTTGGGCCTCTTTCATTGGGTAATTACACACACTGAATGTTAATGGATTAAATGTACCACTCAAGAGACGGAGAGTTGCAGATTGGATAAGAAAACAGAACCCATCAATATGCTGCCTACAAGAGACACACCTT